GAGTTTCGTGATGCATGATCGTTAGAGGATTCGAGAGAACTACTATAAAATGTGTGCATTTAAGAACCTTTCAGTTGACAACGGCTGTTTTCTTGAGGTCCTTGTAAATAGGAGGAAACAATTGGCTTCAAGCAAGCTAGACTCATGCAGCGTTGGATTAGTTCTGCATGTATATTCTATTGTGTTTGAAATTATTATTTTCTTTGCCCTGAGTTTTAGATTTAGCAACAAGTCTCATCCAAACAAGCCATAAAGTAAGTAACATTTTCAATTTTTATTTTTTATAGTACATTGAACATCACACAGGCTACAGCTTTTGCGAATTCCATCACTCCCACCAACCAAATAACAGGTGTTAGTCAATTGTTGACTATCCAAAATTCAAATAGACGGCTGAGTAATCTCAAGTCGGACTAGGAGTGATTTAGTACATAATGACATCTCAGGTCTTAAGCTTGTGTCAATCCACGTGGTTAACTCATGTCTGAAAATTTGGCTAGTTTTATTACACGATATGGATAAAACCAAACAATTATAAGTTGACTATCAATTTTCTTTTCATTAGATTTCACAATAAAGCTAGCATTACTCTCTAAGAAAGTATCGAAATGTCCAAAAGGAAATTATTTATTTATTTTATAGACAATTCTAATAATATACGTAGTAGTCGTGGTATCTCTCTTTAGGGAGGCCTGGGAAGTCAAGCACTTATATAATGACTAATAAACGAATTAAATTAACCATCAAACATCATTCGTAGATATTTTATTCATATTCGAATCATATGAAATGCACAAATATTAACCAATATACATTTGCATCCCACTATTTCATATGAAAGGCTATATCAACATTATATTTAATACTTTGTTTGAATTTATACGTTGAAACCCGTTTTTAAGTCCAGTCCAACCCTTTTAGTCTGCTGATTACTGTTAACAAACTGTATAGATCTAGACATAGCGGCGCATTATGCAACGTCAGTTCTTGGTCTGTGCTGTTTACAGTTGGACTAAACTTATAGGTGAGTATATACGGTAACAATAGAGAGAGAGAGAGAGAGAGAGAGAGAGAGAGAGAGAGAGAGAGAGAGAGAGAGAGAGAGAGAGAGAGAGAGAGAGAGAGAGAGAGAGAGAGAGAGAGAGTTTTGTGGAGTAACTTAAAGACTACTGAGCTCAGAGTCTGTTCAGTAATTCTGCAGTTACTTTAAATAATATCGTACAAAAATTAAAAGAGGAACCTTAGGGGTGTAAAATACGGAAGTCTGTTAGTGTCACGTTTAAATCAAAATTTTTTATCTCGTAATTACGACTTAATATCTCGTAATTATGACTTACTATCTCATAATTACAAGTTATCTATATAGTAATTACGATTTAGCTATCTAGTAATTAGGACTTACTATCCCGTAATTACGAGTTTGCTAAGTCGTAATTACGAGATAGTAAGTCGCAATTACCAGATAGCTTACTCGTAATTACGAGATAGTAAAGTTTTATCTTGCATCAAAGCAAGAGAATCACAATATAAAATCATCACAGAGATGAGGCAAATGCCTAATTTAGCTGAACCTGTAGTTAAAACATAGAGGTTGACAAAACACAAGAACTCAAAATGCCACAAAAAATGAATGAGACTGAACCATTGACAGATATTAAATATGATCTGTTTGGCAATTCTCTATCTTCTTTTCTCTCTGATTCAGAAACTGAAATTTTCTTTAAGAATACCAGTTCATGAAATATTGTTCATGATATCAGTGATACTCTGCCATATATTCCTCCAGTCATACCTGCTGAACCCTTACAAATAGACATTCACAGAGGTGCCTTTGCATTTCTAGAACTGTGTAATTACTTTAAAGATCCCAGAATTTTAAATAAATATCTTATCATCATCCGCATTTTGGCAAATGGATAAAAAAACACAGAAGATACAGGGGGTGTTTTGAGGGATTTGTTTACTGAATTTTAACGGAATTTTAATGTAAGTGCACCGTTGGCAGAGATGTGAAAGTTCCAAGACTGCGGCATGATTTCGGAATGGAAGAATGGAAGACAATTGGGCGATTGATTGCATATGGATGGCAAAAAGTTGGATACTGGCCAATAAAACTTGCAAAGACATTCATGAAGCACTGTTACTTTCAGGTTACTGATGTTACCAATAATGAGCATTAAGAGGATTTGTATCAGCTTATGCCAGATAGAGATATTTTCGAGAAGAGATTCACTGACTTCTCTTCAGTTAGTCTTGATACCTTGTTGGATGCTCTGGATGCCAAAGATTGCCGGACTAAGGTCAGTGGAGAAACATTTAAGGCTGTCTTTTTGGAAATAGCACATAAAGAGATGATTCTATTGCCTATGTATCTACGTGACTGATAGCGAGATATTCTGAAGAGACTCTGCATCATCACTGAAAATCTGAATGGTGTTTATTTGACGCTGATTCCGAGTAACAGAAAGGTTATACATGTTTCAGATTCCAAAATCTCTGAATGTCAAAGCTAATGAAGTTTCAAAATATCTGACTTGAAGGCTTTGTGTCTTTTCCTTCGCTTCTGCACAGGGTCTTACCTCATTACAGTGCCCAGAATAACTGTAGAATCTGTAAATATGACTGGCTTATCAAGAAGACCAATAGGGTATGCTTGCGGTTGTGTCCTTCAAATTATTATGATACTTTTGTGGAATTTAGATGTGAATATGACAGTGTTCTATGAAGCAATATTTGGATCATGGGCATACTTTAAATTTTGTCATTCTGTCCAGTTTTTTGACACATGGTGAATTTCATAGCCTTTGCCCATATCAAGTGGTGTTATAGACGCTACTTTCTACACACATGTATAATAATAGATGGACATAGTAAAGCTTTAGCATTCAGCTCCTCCCTTTTCCATATTGTATAATGGGTCATGTAATTTGAAGAGTGTTAGAGTGGATGCATCATGACAAGCACTACACGCACCTTTCACAATTAGACCACTGTAAGTCACATGTAACATTTCACAGATTTTGGTCAAATGTATTGTTGGAAGTTTATTTCTAAGGTTCAGATAATGTTAGAATCGTGATTGCATGCATGTCTGATAGTACAAAACCCAAACTACTAAAGAAGGCCAATGTGTCCTTCATTTCACATGTTACTTGCATAGGTTAATAATTTAGCATTTAAAGTCAACTCGTGACCAGATAGCCTTTTATCTTCTGTATCCATACTGTCACGCCTTTAAAAATGAAACAATATGAGATATGCATCTTAATGAGTATCACACTCACATAATATAAGGTAGGTCACTGCAATCCCTATTGAATGATTCGCAGACTTTGGCTCAATTTTTACATTTAACTGGTTTAATCTTTAAGTTTTTATGTTGAGCTCATTATCCTATTGGGGTTTTGTTTTTCGTCATGCTATATGCAATCTCTTCTATCCAAATTCAATGTAGTTGTTGACTGGATGCATCTTGATAGCTAAATAATGCATCTTTGTTGCAAACAGAAGTTTTCTGTGACAAATATTTCATGATTTAGTGATCGTTTTGAAATTTTGTGTTTTAAGTTCATTGTAATGTGTCTAATTTTGAAGATTTATTGAAACTTTAGGTAGAATAAATTGTGCTTTGAAGTTATCATGATCAAGCCGGAATAGTCATGAGAAAGTTCGCTGATCTTTCTTTTATTTTATCTTTTAAACATACAAGAGTCTATGCTCAAGCTCCAGTGGAATTGAACCAGTCATCGTAACAGTATAGTGACACATTGTACATAGAATTACTGACCCTATCGGTTGGAAGAGGACTTCATGTCAAAGGAAAGCTAACTGCAGCATATTTTAGGCTGGTGAAATCTGATAAAAGACATGATTATTTGGGGAGAATTTAAGGAATACTTATATCCGATTGGTCAGTAAAAAAATAAGGCGTACACTTTAGGAGACTGGGGATTTAGGATACTACTTGCTCCTTATTCTTTAGTTCGACTCTTACCTTGTAAGAAGACAAAAGGTCCAACTCCTTGGGAAACCGTTGAGAATAGTGTTTGCTCTCGTAGAAAGGCCAGATAGCTGTCTTAGAAAGGAAGATAGGCTATAGTGCTAGGACGCACGGTTTGTGTGGTAAGAAACGGCATTAATGAAACATCTTTTTGAAGAAAAAAAACAAGGGAAGTAAAAGGCAAGCCCTATGAATCAGAGGGAAATCCACACCTAAGAGAGGTTGGAATTATCAGGGGTCAGAAGGGGACCAAAGCACACGCATTAGACGTGGAAACAAGACAAGAGGAGACAGACGTTAGGTGATGCTGTTAAGAATGGGATTTCACTCATTAATTCACCACTCGTAACATTGTGTAAATTGAACACTGCGACTAAATTCTATCAATGTATTGGATTAAAAGATTAAATTTTAATTATGTATTTTAGTAAATCTGTTACATTGAAAAGTGAAATTTTCGTTATGCATTAATTGATTAAATTTACTTTTATTTATTGGTAGATGTGGGCTCGTAGTTGTTTATTTCTTTGAATAGCTTTGCTCTCATATCTGTTAATGCTCCATCTATCCGTTCAGTCTGGGCAATAACACCGTGGCAAGTCATTCCCTAGTTAAAGATCAGCAAATCAATTAAGCAGGCTTTAATATTTTAAAGCCCCTATTCCCCGTTACACTCATTTTGTGTGTCTAGTTTGTGTGAAAGTTTGTGCTTCAAGCTCGTTTATTGGGTGCTGTTTGTAATAAGATCATCATACATTATAATTGCATAGTTCTCTGTTAGAAGTTCATCTTTTTCATCACAGATCACCGTGACCTTTATTTTACGCTTCAGTGATGTGTTAAATATTTATATCTTGGTTATGAATACATTGGCTTTATCTATGCTATGTACATCTTAGCATGTACAGAGGGCCCTTTCTGACAATGCACTTAAAATTAGTGATAAATATGTTTATTCGTTATTAAACTATCCATCTGCCTTATTAAAATTCATGTCACCGCTCCGGTGGCCTAGTGGTTACTGCGTCCGCCTCGGATGCGGGAGGTCGTGGGTTTGATCCCTCGGCCTAGTCACACCTAAGACTTTAAAAATTGGTACTAATAGCTGCCTCACTTAGCACTCAGCATTAAGAGGTTAGTGTTACAACTGGTCGGCCTGGTATCAGGATAATATGACTGGGTGGGACATCGTGCTACATGTCTGCGGAATGAAGTCCCAGTGCTAGACATCACTATAAACTGCCACAATGCAGACATCATAACTATATGATTGAAAAATGTGTTAAAGCTACGTTACAAATCTAACTAAGACATAATTTATGCATTATATTGGGTTAGTTACAACAGGTTAACTGCGTATTGTTTATGAATATAACAATTAGATGATCGGATTGCATGCATGTAGGATGCTTTCTATGTAAGTTTTCAACATTAGTTGACGTTTCAAGGTAATCGCAGATGCATGAATGATGTTTGTATTTTTAGCAGTAACCCAGAGCCCTTGACTTTCACCCAGTAAAGTTTGGATTCTACGGGTGGGTAGCAAACAGTAATTGAAAAAACATGCAAACAAAAGCAAAGTGGAATTACTCTCCAGTTGTTACCTACTCATTATATTACCTTTATTGTCATATATACAATAATGTCAATTTTCTTTCTTTTATTCGTATCTCTTGTATGTCCAGTAATTATGTATGTATATATATATATATATATATATATATATATATAAATATATATATATATATATATATATATATATATATATATATATATATATATATATATATATATATATATATATATATATATATATATATATATATATATATATATATATATATATATATATATATGGTTTATATGCATATCAGCACAACACTAAATTGAAAAACAATAGAAAAGTAACGAATATTTTATTGCCATGATCGCTCCAGTTTGAACTAATTTCTCACCAGCTAATTAATGTACATAATGGAGATTATTAAACACTGGTAGATGCAATTAATGATCAAACTCAGGTTGATCCATTGCAATGATATCAGTACATGTACTGTTGTAAACTGGGTGGTATATTATTGGTTAATCAGCAATGAAATTTCTCCTTTATTTTGATTTGCTCTATGTGATTATTCATAGTGAATTCCAACTTTACATTGACCATGTTGTTATGAAACTAAAAGGATATACTTTACCAAAATTTGAAACTTAAATTGGATTAAATAGGGGACACCTGGAAGAACTCTAATTTATCTGGGTTCCAGAGATAATCATTCTCATAGTGTGTATAAATTGACCTATACTTTAATGTTTGCAACAATTTTATTACAATATCAGCAGATCAGATTGCATTAATTTTAATTATTACCATTCAGCATACACCAGACTCTTACAGTTGTCACTACTAGAAATATCAAGCCAGATTTTGTTTTTGATTTGTTTTTAGTTTTTATAGAATACGCTCGGTTGTTCAATTTAAGTGACTATTTTCCTAGTTCTTTTATTAAATCATCAATGTCAACAGAGTATTGTGGTGCCAGCAAGCTCAAGGGATAGAAAATTCTTCATTGTGGTTAATTTTTATTTTCATCTCAGTTTTTTTTTTATCCTTATATCCCTCAAGCCTCCTGGGTACACAACTTGACGTGGACATTATGACATTTATGTGCAAGAACGCTAAGAAATACATTGGAAGTGCGTTTATATCATTCACACATGTACTTTTGAAAACTAGTTTAGGAAATGATTCTACAATAATTATAGATAAAGTTTAAAGTATGATAACATAGTTGTTTCAATGATGAATCACTATGAATGTTTCTGAGAGGACGAATGGGGGAACAATAGATATTTAAATCATACTGACATTTTGTTTTAAATTGTATACACGGACACACCTTGGATATGTTATTTTGTTCAAGGAGTGTTCTGATGGTAATTTTAACACAAATTTAAATACCATGGTTTTAAATTTTTGTTGAAAAGCGTCGAGGCTTTAAGTATTCTACTTTTTCAAGGTAACAGGAAAATGTAATGATAACTAGATATTATGGTTAAGCCACTTTTGAGTATTGCTTGTATCAACATGTCCAAATCCGGGACAAACTAACCACAAAGTGATAGTTTTAAACAAGGTGAAATTTGCTTAAAACTGTACTATCAAACACTTGTTGCAAAAGAAAGATGGGAACACATGCACACACACACACAGACAGACAGACCGACCGACAGACAGACAGACAGACAGACAGACAGACAGACAGACAGACAGACAGACAGACAGACAGACAGACAGACAGACATACATACATACATACATACATACATACATACATACATACATACATATATATATATATATATATATATATATATATATATATATATATATATATATATATATATATATATATATATATATCTGTTATTTGTTAAAGACACACACAAAAATTACTTTTCCACAAAAGTGTGAAGAGAATATATAGATGATCATGTCTGTCTGTCCATCCATCGACACTATCCACAACAATACTCGAGTCTACTGTTTATTTATTGTAGCTGTGTTTTGTTTAAACCTTAGACTTGCTGGGTGAGGCAGAAGCTCATTGATTTGATGAATGCTAGGTCTAAGGTAAAAATAGGTTACAAAGAGGCAGGTCAACTTTTCTTGGCCCAATTTTGTCAACCTGTCATAACAAGACTATACCTAAGCAGAGGCAAAAATTTGTTGATTCAAAGGCAGAGAGGTGAAGGGTCAGTGCCACTTGAATGTACATTCAATATTTGCTGTTTCTACTCGACAAGTTAATTTATCCTCTATTCAATTTTTATTAGATTTAATACATAGTCGACACTTGGGCAGAAGCATCTCCCTATTGATCGTTGAGCATTAAGGTCAAAAGTCAAATTCACTGGAACTAAAACATATTGTGGAATCCACACGAGTTCACGGTCTTAAAATTTAACAATTATTTGCAGCAATATGTTTATATTACCTTTTATGGAAAGGTAGCTTTACCATTGATATACCAAGGGTCAAGGTTATTGAATTTGAAATTTTGTAATTGCTTTCTGAATAACTGCTTTCTGAATAACTGATTTAAATGGACTCAATTTCCATTAAATTTATAAAAATTCTAATCAAATCTTGGCTTAGACAGGTTGAGCATTTGATCCTACTAAAACTGCATTCTTTTACAAATAAAAATCCTTTTGAAAATCCACGGAGAAACACATACATACAAATGCTCCAGCTGAATAGAATAACAGCTTTTCATTTCAGGGATGGGGTTGAACATTTAAAATATGAAAGTGATTGCAGTTGACTTTTGCTCAGCCATAATGGTATTAGGTCAAAACATGACTGCTCAAGGTCATTCAGAAACAAAGGAATCATTAGAAAAGCAAGATGTATGACATTCCTTTTTTCTAATATTACAGCTACTGCTACTAAAGAGAGTGTTATGTATGTTTATAGTATGTGTATTCTTTCATAAGAGCTTTTGTTAAGGTCATTTAGGTAATGACCTTTGTAATGCTGATATCCTATGAACGGGTTTGTACTGTTTCAGACAAGTCATGATTCAAATGCGTACATCGTTAAGTTCTGAGGTTGAATCAGACTTTTAGTACATGTACACATCAGGTGATCCGTCAAGGATATTTCTAGTAAAAGGCCAAACTGTCCTACTTTCCTGATTAGTTAGTGTAAATCGGCTGATCTTACTTGTAAAGGGATTTCGAAATACCAAAATGATTCATTCTAAGCCTCGTATTGAACTTTTATCTACAGTCAATGTTAGCATTATATATAAGTTCATTGTTACTTAAAGGCATTTTTAGAAGTATTGGCAGTCATGGAGGAGTTATGCATTGAGAGGAATTTTTTAATTTATTCATTTGTTTAAATTATAGTGCTATAACATTTAAAGACTAGATATATCAACTGTACAAAATTACTGTAAATTCATTTAATACTACTTGCATATATAGCTGCATTGGAATTATTGTGAATTCATTGAAAGATCGTTTCGGATTATCTCAGATTTCTGTACTATTGACAAATCTATAAATTATTGATTCAGAGTACCTTTGGAACTTATTCAGATATTCAAAAACACTTGAAATTGTTATCAACATTTATGACTAGAAATTCATTAACCACACTGAAAGTTATTTTAAATTATTTCACTTTCTTTGTGTTACGTTACGGCTCGTTCTAAGTAACAAAAGAGTGAATACAACAAGCTTTATAAATGGTAACAATGATATAATTTATTTTCCTAGAACAAGAAATAATGTAATTTAAACAAGACTTTACGGTTTACAGAAATTATCAAAATTTTGTTCAAAATAAAAAAAAAAATATAAGTCCTGTAAAGAGTTCTAAGCACAGTCTGAAAGTGTATGATGTTCCGGTCCAAAATGGCGGTTGACCACGTCAGACGAAGTTTAACAGCAAATTCCAGAATTTACACAATAAAACAAGTTTGTGTTGTCCCGTTCCAATATTAGGGAGAAAATGTCCAAATACGTAATGTTGTTCTCTAGAAAAACAATTATAAAGACGAAGTGAAAATAGTTCCTCTAACACGGCATGTTATTTTAGGTAGACATACGGACAACTTCTTCTGGCACAACAAATACCTTTTTAAGGATATGGGAAGTTGTATAACAGACTCTACTACGACTGTCGACTGCTGACTCTCGACCACGACAGTCGGTCCGTGACTGTGTATAACGTAAAAAAATATCAAACATATATGGTAAGGTTAATGCGTAGTTTGAATTGCACGCGCACGAGGAAGCATGCAATTTCGTAATACTTCTAGACATTCAGGAAAGCCTGACCCAGTATCAGCCAATCGTTTTCGTGGCTATTCCTGAATGTTTATTTGTAAAGAATTTGTCCTCGTACACGGCACGTGCTAACACGAGTCACATCTACAACTCAAGTAAACACTGTTTTATCAAAAACATGTTAGACGATATTAATATAATGAAATAAAATGAAATAAAAAGAGATTTATACAAAATTGATATATCAACACACATACTTTAACTCCAGGTTCGTAAC